GGGGCCGAGGCGCGCGGCTGGGCCCGGTGCTCGGCGCCCCAGCCGTGGCGCTGCCCGCGGGGGGGTGCCGGCTGTAAGCGGGGTGTGCTCCCGCCTCCGCCGAGGGTCCCGCCTCCGGGAGCTCCGAGTGCGGTCTGGAAAACCTGCCTCATCCGAGGCGGCCGCAGCCGAAAGCGGCAGAGCAGGAACCTGCCTGCCTGGGAGCGGGAAGCGGGTACCATGGCAGAGGCTTCGGGGAGTCCTCTGCCCGAACCCATAGCGAGGAGGAAAAAAAGCATAACCATTGAGGAGAAAATGGACATCATAAGTGCTGTGGAGAGTGGCAAGAAAAAGGCAGACATCGCAGCCAAGTATGGCATAAAGAAGAATTCCTTGTCTTCGATTATAAAGAATAAAGAAAAACTTTTGGAAGCCTTTGAATCCTTGCGATTTGACCCTAAAAGAAAAAGACTAAGGACTGCTTTTTATACCGACCTGGAGGAGGCACTCATGAAGTGGTACAGCATTGCTCAGTGCTTGAATGTGCCGGTAAACGGTCCGATGTTGCGCCTCAAGGCTAATGATTTTGCCCAGAAGCTTGGGCATAGTGATTTTAAATGCAGTAATGGCTGGCTCGATCGTTTCAAGTCAAGGCACGGTTTAGTTTTCAGAGCTCAGCCTGTAGAAGCAGCTGTTGCTACTGCAGTGGATGCTCCGGCTCTTTGGTACCAAAATGTTCTTCCTTGTTATTTAAATGATTATCAGCCAAAAAACGTGTTTTATATACAGGAGACTGGATTGTTGTATCAGATGTTACCACATAACACATTTGCATTTAAAGGGGAAACTTGTTCTGTAGGTAAACTCAGCAAAGAGAAAATAACCCTAGTGGCAGGTGCAAATATGGATGGCTCCGAGAAACTTCCTTTGCTTGTTATAGGAAAAAACAAAAGTCCACGCTCTTTCAAAGATGTGAAGTCGCTACCTGTGGATTATGAAGCAAATGATATGGCGTGGATGTCTTCAGAAGTGTTTGAACAGTGGATGCATAAACTTGATGACAGATTTCAAGCACAGCAGCGACGCGTAGTTATTCTTGTTGATTCTCTCCCAGCTCACACTGAAGTAAAGAACCTGAAGTCTGTCAAATTAGTGTTCTCTCCTCCAGACTCTTCTTCATATATAGCTATGAAACAAGGGGTTATCAGAAGTCTGAAGGTTAAATACAGGCATTGTCTTATCAAGAGATTTGTTGACTGCGTAGAAGGTAATAAAGACTTTATGCTGACTCTTCTCGATGCAATTGAGATGTTGTACCTGTGCTGGAGGAAAGTAACACCAGAGACTATTGTAAAAAGTTATAATGAAGCAGGCTTCAACTTAGAAACCAAGACAAATGGTAACGATACAGAGATTGAAAGTGATTTTGATTTGATTGCACGTGCACAGGCAGCTGGAGTGGAGTTTCCAGAAGGCTTATCTTTGGAGGAATGTGCAGCTCTAGATGATGACTTGTTAACTTATGAAATGCACACAAATAATGAAAGGATGTGTGCCAAAGAAAGTGCATCAGATAAAGCTGAGACATTTGTTGGTGATGAGGAGGAAGGTGATCGATTTCAGGGAGCTGAACAGCCTTTGCCATCAAAAAATGAGGCTTTGACTGCTTTAGATACCCTTCGAAAGTTTCTCAGAAGTCAAGACATGAATGATTCTCTTCACGATTCCCTAGCTGACCTGGAGAATTTTATTCAACATGTAGCATATAAATAAATATTTTAGCAAAGTGTAAAAATACGTAATTAAAAAAAAAAAAGTAATTATGTAAGTAAACAACAATATGGAGTTTAATAACAAGTGTTGCTGCAGTGTTCTCTAGTGTGTCTTGCTCAGGTGCCTAGATTTACATAATGGAAGAAATTTGAAATTATGAAAAAAGGCTGTGAACTGACGTCCTCCACAAAATCAGGAGGAAAAAACATAAAATTTGGGGTAGAGAGAGGAAGTAAGTACGGTTGAGGCAAAAGCAATTCTTTAATCAGTTCCATGCACTCAAGATGAACTGGTGCTCACTTGGAATTCTTTCTTCAGGCAGAAATTAGCACTTCTTTACATTGATAATTTCACTGGTGTCTGTGGTATTGTTGACAGTGGAACAGTATATATCAGCTTCATGTTTTTGATACTTAAACAAAAAATTGAGTAACACCAAAAATACATGCCTAAGTTCTGAGAACTAAGGGGTTTTTTAAATAATTTTTTTTGCCCTCATTCAAGAATTATGGCCATAGTTTATTCTTGCAGCAGATGATGAACTGCAGAAAGTGGCTTTGGATATGTTTTTTTCTTAAAGCTGCTCATGTATGGATACACAAACGGCATAATCATTTATCTGAGAGTCAAAAGACAAATAAACCTTTACTTGGTCTTTGAAGAGGTCAGAAAGAAAGATCCTTCACTCCCTTTCAGCCTTTTTGGTATTTGGATTTGATGTAGGTCCTTCTGTGCAACTCCATGTATTTCTACAGTAAATACAGAAAAAGAAAAAAAAAAGGTTTAAGCAGTATCTGCACTCAAAACCTTACTGGTTTAAAATAAATAAAACTTGTTTTATTTACTGTACTTGAAGGCTTTGCTGTAGGATTTAATGCACCCATGTGGTTTATTATTATAAGTGCCATTAACAGGAGTGCTGTTTGTAGGAATGCAGTGTGAAGTTGAGTAAATCACAGTACATTTTCACGTCTTCAAGTAAACATTTCAAGCAGGGTAATCATACTAGAGTCAAAAAATCTCAGTTTATGTGAGACATACTGCTTGTGACTTTTTTCAAAACCTGTTTTAAATGTTTCCCATATCTATTAATTTTATTTTTTTCAGAAGTTAGAGATAATAATTTTTCTAATTTGGAGGAAGAAGAAAATATTTTATGGAGGCCCTTTAGGAAACCTGTGTAATAAAGAATCTATTATGGTGCCTTTAACCATGAGAAACAATCTCTTGCCTATTTGAATCTTCAGTTTTCAATAAACAGTTTGGCTAAAGCTTTGCTTACTGTTCTTTCTGGTGGAGGACAGTTTATCCATTTGTAAAAGCACTTCAGAAAATGTATCAAATTGTTGGAAGACAGTGAAAATACTGGGGGGGGGTGTGATGGTGAGAAAATGCCTATGGCTAAACTGTGTAAATGTTTTACTAGAACCCCTTCAAAAAAGCCCCACAAACTTCTGGTTTCTTGTTATGAAATACCTGATGTGAATTCTGTCCACAGGATATTCTGATTAAATAAGAAATTTCTGATGAGATTCCAATAAATAAAGTCCCACACAGAAATTTATAGCTTCTGTGAAAAAGGTACCCCTCTGAATTCTCTCTTCTAACTATTATTTTAAAATACAGATGCAAAATCTTAAATTCAAAAGTTGTGTCAAACACATTTTGCTTATGACAAGTACTTTCTATTTTGGCTAAGGTCATTTGAAGTTCATATAAATCCCACTCAGCCCTATGGATAATTTTCCTGTAGTAATCTTTTAAATAAATCTATGGGTTTCTTTGCTACAGCCTCTCCTGCTAAAGGCAAGTTTAGGAAAAAGTTTCTATTATCCATATAGTATAAGTGTATATTTTTTAAGATTCCACTCCACGTAGACGTCACTGGCCCAGGATCCAGATAAGGAGACGCTGTTTCCTTCTAAGAGAATTCTGAGTGTGAAAGTATTGAATCTGAGTGAGGAAGACTTGTGTAAATAAGCAGCAAATCTTGGTTAAGCAAGGGTTCGATCTACAAGAAGTGTAATCTTTGCAAGATGAGGCTTAGAAAATCAGGAGACAGTAAATAACATTATGAGCTGGTAACAAAGAAAGTAAATTACTGTCTGCTGTCATGCTCCCTCATGAAAGCAACAGGAAGGATTTACTAATTTGGCCTGGACTTTAAAGGTCGGTTGTGGAGCTTGCTTTAAAAAACATGCCAGTGCATCGAAATCCCGTATCTTTAGAGAATATATGTCTTCTTTCCTAGCCTCCTAGTTCATCCTGAGAAACCAAGCTAAAACGCACTCACTGAAACTGATTATTTTAGGTCAGACACTTTATATTCAAACACTATTGCTTTCAAAATTATTTAGAAGCCAAAATATTTCTTTTCACTTGGATATTGGTCACATTTATAGTCAAGCAGAGAATGTAAAGTCCATTTCGAAGCTTGTTGCTATTTCAGGTGTTTGTTCACAGGGAAATGCAGACTCCTTAGATCTGAAATGTTAGCAGTGAAAAAGGAAGTGGTACACTATGCAAATGTTAGTCATTTTAGCCTGTGTACACAGCTTGAGCTTGAGATTTTTTTTACATTGTCTAGGTGAACCAGGACACTGGCTTTTTATGTCTGGTGTGGTATCTTTTGGAGGGAGAGGAAGAATATTGCTTTAGACTGCAACATATTTAAAAAGAAAAACCTGTTCTACAACAGGCAGGTTACTAAGGCTGTCATTTGCTTTAATATTTCAGATATTATTTGGGACAACTATGTGCTTTTTCCTGTACTCTTTTCTACTTTATGCTGTGGTTAGATAATAATTATGTACTTTGGTGTCAAGTCAGTGAGGTCACTTTCAGTTATTCAAAGTGACTTCTAGAAGTGTGAACTGAAAATACGAAGTTTTAAAAATATAACTAACTTCCAAACAAGTCCAAAACAGAAGAAAATATTTGGAAAGTATGTTTGATATAATCAAAAGCACCCTCAGCAACTTTGCCAACAACACCAAGCTGTGTGGTGCAGCTGACATGCTGGAGGGAAGGGATGTGCCATCCAGAGGGACGTGGACAGGCTTGAGAGGTGGGACCATGAACATCATGAAGGTCAACAAGGCCAAGTGCAAGGTCCTGCACACAGGTCGGGGCAATCCCGAGCACAAATACAAGCTGGGAGATGAGTGGATTGAGAGCAGCCCTGTGGAGAAGGACTTGGGTGTATTAGTGGATGGAAAACTGACTATGAGCCAGCAATGTGTGCTCACAGCCCAGAAAGCCAACAGCACTTCATTAAGAGAAGTGTGGCCAGCAGGAATAGGGAGGGGATTCTCCCCCTCTGCTCTGGTGACACCCCACCTGCAGTGCTGTGTCCAGCCCTGGGGCCCCCAACAGAAGAAGGACATGGACCTGCTTGAGCCAGTCCAGAGGAGGCCAAAAAGATGATTGGGGGGCTGGAGCACCTCCCCTATGAGGACAGGCTGAGAGAGTTGGGGTTGTTCAGCCTGGAGGGAGACCTTATTGCAGCCTTCCAGTACCTAAAGGGGGCCTACAAGAAAGCTGGAGAGGGACTTTTTACAAGGATATGTAGTGATAGGACAAGGGGTAATAGCTTTAAAATGAAAAGAGTGTAGATTTAGATCAGATGTGAGGAAGAAATTCTTTAATGAGAGGGTGAGGCACTGGCACAGGTTGCCCAGAGAAGCTGTGGCTGCCCCCTCCCTGGCAGTGTTCAAGGCCAGGTTGGACGGGGCTTTGAGCAACCTGGGCTAGTGGAAGGTGTCCCTGCCCATGGCAGGGGGGGTGGAACTAGATGATCTTTAAGGTCCTTTCCAACCCAAACCATTTATGATTCTATGAATCTCAGAGTCATTCTTGAGACAAGTAATTAATATGTAAAATTATGTATGTTTTTCAAAATACATCTGCATTTGAAAATTTTAATAAATATTACACTTTTTCTGATTTTTTGTGTGTATTACTGTTATGTCCAGTTCTGGATACCTATCAGATCTCTAAAACTACATCTCCTTTTAAAATTATTGCTCAAAGGAAGGTTGCTCACCTCTAATGGTAAAAGGAAATTAATTTAACAAGTTTTTGCACCCGTAGGCAAAAACAGAAGAGAGGGGGCAGTCAGGGATTTATAGAAGAGCAATTCATACATGCCTGTATACCCAAGATTTGTGACATTTTGATAGCTAAGTAATCAAGAGTAAATAAATTAATGGTTTCTCATTATTATGTAAATCTTGAGAATGATAGCATCAAACACACAGAATCGTCAGCCATTCTAAATTTTACATGCAATATTTTAATTAATGTAAATTATAATATTAAAATATTAGTAAAATAACTTCAGTATTATTTTGGTGGTTGTGTTCATTGAAACGGTAGCGTGAATATTGGCCTACTCAACACTTAACTAAAACGTGTGGTGACTGGGCAACCGTGGCATGCAATGATGGCATTTCACATTATTCCTTTAATATCAATAAAAGGTGATACTTTCTCTTTTGGGGAGGCAATTGTTAAAGGAAGACTTTGAAAAGTTCTTACTGGGAACTGAATGGTGCTGTTGCCAGAGAAGAGTTTTTATATTTAAGCAAGGAGCCCAGTATTTGTATCTAGATATTTTAATATGCCTGTTTTGGGGTTCCTTGAAAATCAGAACCAAACCCAGTCAGTTCAGAGGCAAACAAATCTAATTGAAATTTTTGCAGTGTGATGAGTGACAGCTTTCTTCTATCATTAACATTATTATATTCATTCACAATATTATATTACTATATGAATTATTATATTCATTAACAATAGAAAAATCTTTGCAACAGATAAAAGTATAGCAATTTTATGTCTGACAGCCTGTTTTTACACATAGCTTTTATATCGTTAAAGCAGTGTTGTATAGGCATGTGATTCCCTTTTACTGATGTATCTGCACTGTGGTATGACCACATCATTGTTTTACGGGATTAGTAATTCAAGTGTAGCTCCTTGCCCTTCTTGCTAGTACAGTTGCTTAATTTGAGATGTATTTTCTCTCACAACTGTAGCTGTTTAACTTCATCTGTCTAGTTAAAACAACAGAATTTCTGGTTTAAGACAGAGTGGGAGAACCAGTGATATGTTGCTAACTTTTTCATAGCTGTGTCACCTCTGCTCCTTGAGTGGAATGGTGAAGTGTAAATGACAAATTACTGTGATCAGTAAAGTGAATGAATACCACACTGAATTACCAGATCCACTGAGTGAGAAGATGCCATATTTACAATGACTTTTAAAATGCCTTACTGTGTTTTACAACAGTTTAGCTGAAAGCCATGTTCTTCCTAAGCTTTCATGTCACCCTGCCTATCCATTGCCTTCTATCATTTTATATTCTTTAATACCCTGCTAATTCTAGGATAATTTTCACAAACTTCTGTCAAGCTGCTTTTCTCCTTACTCTCCTGATTTCTAATATTATCTTTTGCAGGTGGTATTTTTGAATCATCTCATGTATCAGCTAGTATCACCCTCTTGGTACACATGCTTGTGATCTCAGGCACTAATTTATCCATTGCTGTATTTAGTGGCCTTCCCAAATCCTTGCTTCATTTAGCTGAGAACATTTAGTACATCTGTATTTCTTTTTGTCGTTTCTTTTTGTAGAGAAGGGTGAGCAGTGCTTTTTCCAGCAGTCACCCAGGATGTCAGAGAACTGGTAATAAAACACGTAATCTTTGTCTCCTTTCAGGTGTCTCCATTTTTTCCATCTGTCAGTGGTCCCTTCTGATCTGTACTTTTGAGATTCTTAATTTGACATTTAGTATCCTTGTCTAAACCATTCCCTTTTCTCTCTGACCTCTTGCCCTTATCTGCCTGTGTAGCATCCTTGTGACAGTTCACTTCTACATTTCCATTGATACATATCCCTAACCTCAGCTCTGTGGATCTTTCTTCCCTCCTCTTTTACTGGCCCCATCTAATATTTAAACTACATTTCAAACTCCTTTTTCCTCCTTTCCATTTGGATTTGATGTCCATTTCTCTCTTTCAAAACCAAGTATTTAACTCTTTCTGGAGACAACCATGTTTTTATTTTCTATTTCATTTGGCATGTCTTCATGATATCCTTAGGTCAAAGATTATGTAATGATTAAAAGTATGTTATTTTCCCTAAATTTATGTCTTTGCATTTTGTTTTCTCCGATTCTTTATTCTTAGCACTTTCAAGTCTTTCCTTTGAGCCCTTCTTTTGCACTCCTGATTACCAGCATTAATTTGATTCATTTTTTTAAGCTTATACAAAAATAAACCCACAAACAAAACCTGCACAAATATAGAGTTTGGGGCTATTTGTTTACACAGCTGTGTTACAATGTTGCATA